GCAGTAAAGCAGTGGGGGGGGAGGGGGGGAGGGGAAGGGGGCTGCGCACTCCGGCAGATCAAAGCAAGCTAGATATAACGCGGTTTCACCTATAAGGCGGTAAGATATTTTGGCTCCCGAGGACAGTGTCATATCGGGGTAGAGGTGTAGCGTCCGGGAAAAGATTTTTTGTGCCAGCCATTCTTTCCAAGTTTTAAATTATGGTCCTGTTTATAAACACTTGACTGCCTTGTCCTTTTCATGGTGAGATCATCTTTACAGCTGTGATTAGCTGGATGCAGCTGCTTATTTCAATCCTTGTCTACCTCACCTTTTTTCCCTGTGGTTCTGGTATTGCAGTGTGCTCTCTCTCTCTAATACATTAACAAATATTACACGACACATTCCACAGAACAATACAGAATCAAATATTTTAAAAAAGATATTTATTCTTGCATGAAAAAAATCTTGTAATAGCTTTCCAATCTAGCAAGACATAAAGCCTGCGTGATGATAATTTTTTTCAGTAGACTGGATCAATTGTCAGTAACCCTAATGCAGTCCCTTCCAAGTTATGCCAAAAGAGCTATCTAATTTTCTGCTTTATTCGAATTCTACTTACAAATGCATGAGCAGGCAAAGAAAAAAAGAGAGAGAGGGAGAGAAGGGAAAGGCTGATAAAATACAGAATAAATTAAACATCAGGGCTGTAATCTCTAGGCAATTTTATTCCCTAATCAAAAATATTGTACATCAATTTTTTAAGTATGCTTTTTGACTGATTGTGCAAGTTTCTATAATGAACAGCACATTTGTACAAAGGTAATGCAATCTCTGTGTTTTACCATACATCTAAGTTTATTTTTAAAGGATAGAGAATAACCTTCTCCCCCAATGTAAATTGCTTTTAACTGGATTAAAATATGCTTAGGGTAACATCATATATTTCTGAGCTTTAAGCCTAGTATGATACTTCCCTTTACTCCTGTATCTTCTAGTAAGCTCCTCTAAAGTGACAGGTGCTCCTGGCTCTGTAATTAATAGGGGACATCAGGGTTAGCCCTGTTTTGTGGGACACTGGCTAACTCCCTCCCCATGGAGTCTTCAGTGGCAGTGTGGCTATGTCAGATAGAGGCATGCAGGGGGCCTTCATGATAGGCGAAATCCTGCCATTGGGGGTGTATCTTTGAGTAGTTTGGTGTCAGCTTGGAATGAAATGGTTAGATGGAGCTGGTAAAACAGCAGAGATCATTAGGTTTCTTAGGGAAGAAGTGTCTATTTCATTAATATAAAATGCAGTAAAGGAATAAGAAATTTCTTTCCTTATAAAAATTAAGGAGAAGACAGAAGAACAGCTTCAACTATGAGATGGCTGGTAGACAGGTTTAGCATCCTTCCTATAAGGTTAGTACAGGTGTGGGGATGAGCTTCCCCCAAGGAGATCTGCTTTTGAAGTGACAGATTTTGAGGCCTCCTCTGTTGGTCCAATTGTGCTACATTGCACTGAATAAGTACTGATGGAACCATCCTCATCTGTTAGCCACTCACTCTTCTGGAACTGGAGGGCCTCCCTTTCAGTTATGTGAGTAGGCGCAGTAGAGGAGGCCTAACCATTGGAGGAGGAGGGAGAAGAGGAAGAGAAAGGGAGAAAGGAAGAGCATGATGATAACACTAAGTATTTTGTTTAGCCCTTTATGATCTCAAACATTGACTGATGAACCCTAACAAAACCCTCTGCTGGGGAGGTAAGGGAATATCATCACCTCCATTTTACAGATGGGGAAGAAAACTAAGACAGAGAAAATCAGGGAGGGGTATTAAAAGATTGTGATTCTGTTACTAGCACTACCCTTTTTAGTCTATTAGATGAGGGTGAGTTTTAGCACATCTAAGACATGCTGCATAGCTATGCCCTGGGACCCCCAGCAGTCTGTGTGGGGCTTTCTCCAGCTTACCCCACCTAGACCACTCTGCCAGGCCTGCTGACGGGATGTGGTAATATGGAGAGCGAAGGGGATCAATAGGTGACATGTCCAGAACTGCTGTACATGTTTAGGGAGGGAAATTGTGGATGGAGGTTTCCTGATACATCAGTAAAAAGGGTGAAAACTGTAATGTGCCCCAGCAGGTCTGTGATAAAGGGGGCATCATTCTGATTCTTTGACAGCCCAAACTACCATAGCTATGGTTCCTAGTCATCATGAAGCAGGTTGCACTTCACATCCAAGTGGCACTGGAGTCTGAGTAGTCAACAACTGAGTAGCAAATATACCAGAGGAACTATAATGCTTTTTACTACCCCTCATGCTCTACTAGACCTTATTCAACAGGGTTCAATATCACTTCATCTAGCTTTGGAGACAAGTTGTTAAACTGAAGACACACCCCCTTACCCAGAGGTGTGCAATACAAGAACAAACAGAGATTCTGATAACCAAGCTGCATCTCCTGCATTCGTCACCTTTTATGCTCACTAACAATGCAGTGCTCAGCTGGAAGTCTACCTCTGGTTTTGACTGGCTTTGTATCTCAAAATCAATTTATTTGCCTGATATGCAGCAGTGCAAGTACAGCGGCACGGTCTGGTATGCCATACCAGCAAGATATTTACAGCCGGTACTGCGTACAGTAAAGACACAGGAGGAGCCGGTGGCCCCACGCCGGCAGCTACTCCGGTGGCTGTACCGCCACCAGCCCCATCCACCCAGCCCTGTCCTCCAGCAGGGCTGCTGTTTACAGACGGAGGAGATGCAGCTGTGTGGAAGGGCAGGGGGCGGGGCTGGGGGCGGTAGAGCCGTGCCGGAGGAGCTGCCCAGCAGCGCCATGTTCTGCTCCTTTCCCCGCTGCGGTTCCGAAGTCTCCAGCGCAGCAGAAGGAGGACAGAGCCCCCCCCCCCTCAGGTAATGTGGGATGGTTCATGGGGAGGGGACGTGGAGAGTGTGGGGGCCCCGGGCTGTGGGTGGAGTGGGGAGGAATCACATGGAGGGTCACGTGGGGAGGTCATGTGCCCCCCCCCTTAGCTGGTGTCCCCCCCGTACAGGTAAGACATGGATTCTACTTGCACCACTGCTGGTATGACTAGGTGCAGAATAACCATGCATTTAGTGGGTAGCCTGCATTACATCTGTGAGAACTCTCTGATCTATGACAGCACTGCCTGTTCATGGCACATGCTTCTTTATTGAATGTTGTTTGCTAAGACAAAAATTACCTGCGCAGTGAAGAATTGGAAGAAATGGTGTTATTGGGTTCTTTTGACAACCATGAAGAAGGATTTTATTGTAGAAGGTACCTGGGCAACTATTAAGACCACTTGTACATATACGAGATTCCACAGTAGAGCAATAGCAACAACTAAGGAATCTTAAACACAAATGGAGTCAAGTTAACAGCATCACACAAGTTGTGTGCTTGCTTGAAGAGTCAGCCATCAGTAAAGATGGGATGTTAAACAGTCCTTTACATAAGGCAAAAGGAAAATAAAAAAGACATGGCAAATGCTCATTGCAAATGTTCATTCCTGAAGAGAAACATCTCTCGCTGGGTGAGACATAATTGAAGATAAGTGTGTAGACGACGTAAAAACAGGCTCCTACCCACCTCAGCCTGTGCATAGAATATGTTTATGTACAATCATACTCATGTTTATATTATGTGCCTCAACACAGCAGGTAAAAACATACAGAGACAATGGTTCGTAGAAGTCTAATAGCAAAAGCCTTAGCATGCATAACAGTGTATTTCCTTATAAGGGCAACTGGCTGTATGGAGTTACTGGGGCTCCGTTCCCTAATGGGAAAATTGGGAGGGGCTCATGGTGGCCCCATCATGAGTCCAATCCTACATCATTCTGCAGCTGGAATTGCCTGGTGCTACGTAGTTTGGACCCAGATTTGTACTTCCATACAATAAAGGGATGTTTTTCAGTCCTCTCTAACTGAAGCCAGTGGCAGTGTTACGTGTGGAATGACTGCAGGATGGGGCTCTTTGCCTCACAGAGTCCACCATTAAGTGTTGATTTCATGTTTCCAGCTAACCAACTCTCTCTCTTTTTGTCTTGCCGGGAGTGTTCTGACTCATTCTAAGCAGAGAAAATCATATACATATATATTTAAAAATGAATCAGATTTTTGCTAAACCACAAGGCAAAAGGCTTCCATCAATGTCAATAAAAGTTTACCTTTAATGGAGAGTTCTTGGCTTCAGGGAACTCCCTTTCATCCAGTCTAATCCAGCGTTGTAGAAACTGTTGAACCATTGGGTTTTCATTGTTAACAATCTGGAATCCAGTAACATTGGCACCTCCATGCATTACTCTCTCCAGCATAATATCTGTAAAACCCTGGAAGAATATGTGCAGAAAACAAGAACCAGTGTCATATGAAGTGTCTGCAACTTGGCTCGGTTTTAAAAACAAACATTCTGGTAAGATGCTATTTTTAAATCTTGGGCTAGTTTAGCACAAAAGAAACTGATGAAAGTTCCCTGCCGCTAGTAGAAGATACCCTATCTAGGGGACAATATCTTGCAACAGTAGATTGTAGTATTGGAATAAAATGGAATTTGGAAACACCTGGATTCCAGACGTTTGTGATGGAACACTGGCTTGTTCCAGTGTGGCAAAGTTTCCATGTGATCCAAAACATACCCAAAAGGGTACACAATAGTACACATAAAGCTCAGTAGAAGAGGACTGATTGGCATATGGGTTAATGAATTACTCAAATTCTTTTGTTAAAATATGTAGTGTCAGATCATAATTGGTATTTCATATACTGCATACTGGATAATCATGTGAAAGGACTCCATGGTTGTAAAACTAAACTAGCTCTTTATTAAGAGAACTATTTACAGAGATGCTACATCTGCAGGTAGCATTCTAGCCACGTGCATTCCCAATAGCTTCTCAGTGCTTCTTCCAAACTCTTTCCTTCTGCAACCTGTACTCCTCCCTCCAAGTTCCATGCAGGGTGCTACAGCTGGTTCATGCATCTTGTGCATGTGTTAAAGATGGGGGGTAAAGGGGAAATGGGGTGCAAGGATGCTCCTTGATGCTTCTGCTGAAGAGTTAGCCACTGTTAACACCCTTGAGGTGCGAACCACACCAAAAGAGATGGAGAACGTTGGGCCCTGGCTCCAATACCTCCTCTGCACCAGCCAGCAGAGCGGCAAATGCTTAACAGTATATGAAAGAGTGCCAGGAATCTCTGTGACTCAGCGGCATGATGCCCCTTGTTGGTCTCATTGCTGTGTTGTGGCGCAGCATGATCCTCACGCCAGACAGTGCAGTGTTAATTGTCACAATATTTACCTTAATGTTTCACTTTCAAGCCTTGTGGGCCTGATTCTCCACTGCCCTATGCCTCATATGGTCATTTACTCCTGTGCAAAGTGGATGTAGAAAGCAAGTTGATTGGGTAGCAGTTTGCAGTCACCTTGCAGAAATGTAAATGGCTATGCGTGGCACAAAGTATAGCAATTTAAGCCCACTGTTCTTTGGTTTATGCAAAGTACACTGTAGTCAGTGTGAATAGGATCAGTTCCATAATGCACAATGACACATTTTAAAGCCACACAGTATTTATAAGGAAAATGGCATTTTAAAATTCATCTAACCTGCTTTAATCATACACAGAAAAAATGATTATAGAGACTCTTCTACAAAGTAGGATTACTAACTAGGAAGTGTGATATGACTTTAGAAGAACATTTTCCTCACATAGAAGCTAAAAATGACTCTTTCTGCAGGATCAACTACCTTATAACCCTTTTCTGCAGCATGTCTAGCTGATAGCTTTTCAAAAATATCAAAGAAATATCTGAAAAGTCAGTTATAGAGTGTGGAGAAGTGCATTTTTAATATGGATAAAAATATACCGTCCTCCGCCTGGTCAATGAATATGTATAAAGTACTGTACTAACTCTGCAATGAGGTTCTACCTATATAAAGCCAATGAGTGGTTAAATAGTCTAGCCACTTTAGTACGTGGAATTACAAATTTTAATTTGGCTCTTTATATCACTTGTATCATGTACAAATAAAATATAATTCTTTTTATAGTGATTACATTTAAAATCTGTTATACAGAAGATTAGTATTATCTAGTGTGTTATTTAAGAGGATATAAATTAGTGGAGAACATATAATTGAATTATTATTTTTAAATTAGTAAAGGATACGAGCTTCTTAGACAAAACAAAGACTGTGTAATTGAGTCGAAATGACTATTACATACCAGTTCTATTATTTACTGAAGTCATTTCTAAAAATCCAGGCACTCCTTCATGCATTTTCTCCTTAGCTGATTAAAGTTGACACAACCTGTATAGAATATATTACCCTCTAAAACTTAGTTATACTTCTGCTGATGAAAAAGTTCTTACCAGGTTAGCTAGCATGTAGTGATAACCTCTGGAATGTTTACCAAGGATTACAACCTGTGTGTAGAAGAAATAACATGTATCACTTAATGTAAAAGAATGAGTCTCAACGAGCATAAGGAAAAAAACAAAAACAATGAACATTTTAGGAACACAGGACCCACTTCCATTCAAATTAATGACAAAATCTCATTGTCTTCATTGGAGGCTGAATTGGGCCTATATACTGTCCACTTAGGGTGACCAGATGTCCTGATTTTATAGGGACAGTCCCAATATTCAGGGCTTTGTCTTATATAGGTGCTATTACCTCCCACCCCGTCCCGATTTTTCACACTTGCTATCTGGTCACCCTATGCCCACAACTTGGTTTATTAATAATTCGTGCAACTGCGACCTAGCTCATGGCTACCTGAAGCTTTTGTGAGGACCTTCTGTGAAAGTTCCCCAACCAGCTCTGTCTCTATCAGCAATCTCCCCTTCATTGCAACTAACCCCTGCATCCAAGCAGCTAACTAGGGAGAGGTAGGAATTCGCTGACCGAGTGGGGTGCAGAGTAGATGGGAATTGCAGAACCAACAGGTTACTACAGAGAATATAACTGAGAGCTCAAGAAAAGATGATGCCACAGTAGGATCATGACAGGTTTCAGAGTAGCAGCCGTGTTAGTCTGTATCCGCAAAAAGAAGAACAGGAGTACTTGTGGCACCTTAGAGACTAACAAATTTATTAGAGCATAAGCTTTCGTGGACTACAGCCCACTTCTTCGGATGCATATAGAATGGAACATATATTGAGGAGATATATATACACACATACAGAGAGCATGAACAGGTGGGAGTTGTCTTACCAACTCTCTGTATGTGTGTATATATATCTCCTCAATATATGTTCCATTCTATATGCATCCGAAGAAGTGGGCTGTAGTCCACGAAAGCTTATGCTCTAATAAATTTGTTAGTCTCTAAGGTGCCACAAGTACTCCTGTTCTTCTTTTAGTAGGATCATGTGGCCTATGTAGCCACATAGGACTCCAGTTCAAAATGCCCAATAGGAACTGTCAGACATAAGGAAAGCAGAATTGGACCAATGGACTCCAGAGGCTTAACAGTAGCACAGACAATTCCTATCATAAATGGATAAGTATCTTGCTAACTGAACATGGGAAATAATTTTTTAACCAGCAGTTGTTTATGGATTCCAGTCTTAGAATGAATGATTTCACTTCTTAAAAGAAAAAAATTTCTCATAGGAAAATTTTATCAAAGAACTGTTCTTCTCTACATGATTTCAGCCAGCTTCATTTTATTAGCTTTCTTGGTGTTATTTCTTGCTAGAAGAGACAGGAACAATATTTGCCATCTGCTGTTTGAGTGACCACTAATCACACAAAGATCCTGGTTGTGGGTTTTTTCAGTGCCATCATTTTTGTGAGTAAACAGTGAGCACGTTCATATTTCCCTTGCCTGTATTATGCCCACCTCTGTGCTCAGACAAAAGCAAGCTGCTGCTGGTAGTCTGGAACCTCTGCAGTTGTTATAAAAGGACATGCTGGGTACCTTATTGGTGGGAAAGGGGAACACAGGTGTGAGAGAGAGGGATGGCAAGGCAGTTTTGCCAGCATCATCATTAACGCCCAGCATCAGTTACAATCAAGAAGGGAAACAGAAGAGAAAAGCAAAGACTGGCAAAGGGGAAAGGAAAAGCCGTGCAGCCAAAGACGGCCCCCAAGAGCTCATGGATAGAGTGGTGGGAGGCTGTGGTTTGAGATGTTGTAGCAGCTGAGTTTTGCCAGTGAGGCGTAAGCGTCTCTCTTTCACCAGAGGAACGTGCAAGGGCAAAGCCCTACCATCACCAATGAGAGCCGGGCACACCCAGAGTACAATGCGGAATCCTAACTCTGGCAAAGTCACCTTGGCTATCATAGCATCCCCCCTGTCAAACTTTGGTATCAGCTTAATTATATCTGCTCAGTAAATAGGTAACACTCTATTCCCCCACACACTTAGTTGGCCCCTGTTTACTTTGCTCCTCGTTTGTGGAGTACATTAGGATACGTGAAACAATCCATCAGCTGACTTTGTGCTGATTAAACTCTACAAAATGTCACTGTCACAATTATACCACAGCAGGGCACAAATCAAACCAAGGGGCTTCCTGCTACATGTCTACATGTCTTTGGGAAAGCTGTTCCTGACATTTCAACATTGGGTGCCAACGTTATATTTAGGCACCTAAGTAAAGATGGCCCAATTTTCAGAGGTGCTGAGAACCTTCAGCTCCCACCGACTTCCACTGCAGTTGTGCAAGCACAGACAAGGCGAGAACTGGCCCTGTATGTCTAGGTCTGAATTCTGGTGATGCACAGGGGACAAAGAGGATGCAGCCGGATAAAAAAGCCCCTTGCAGGCACCCCTATGTGCAAGTGGAGCAGTTTGGCAGACAGCGTGGTACACAAGAAAACAATAGGAAATGCACCATTAGCTGAGTGGTTGTGGTCTGTAGGGAAAAAAGGAGGGTGACTAGGTCCTACCCCTGTCTGGCAAGCATGTGTTCTATCATTAGCTGTACTCACAAGCCAGCCCTGATACCATTTGGCGCATGCTGAGAAAGGAAGCAAAGCACTCTCCAGCTTCCGAGGTGCTGAACAATTTTTATAATGGGGGTACTGAGAGCCATTGAACCAAACTGTAAACCCTGTATCTAATGGAAACCCCTTCAAGCCAGGGTGTGTGGCAGCACCCCTAGTTCAAGCACCTATGCCCATGTTGAATCACCAGTAATAAAAATTGTGCAGGTTAGATTGTGATTTTGCAATTCCATCTGTGCAATCCCATTGTCTTCAAATTATAACCTCAGCATCAGCAGTGCAACCCCATAGTCTTCAGGAAGGATTTGATCCTGCAATTACAAGTCAGTTCATCCTGCTGATTATGCATGAGACAGGATAGAATCAAGCTCACTCTCCTTTAGCTTTGTTGTGCTAACAGGAGTAAAAAGTAGTCAACACTTATATTTGTCACTATACAAATTAGCTGTAACACTGACTACACACAGTGAACAGCTCTGTTGAGTAAGGTGCCACTTTTAAACATACACTTTTCAGAGTATACTCAACCTCTAAATGGAAATATCCAGCATGCCACATTATCACAACTCTCTGGCTTCTGTATGGGTGACAGATAAAGGATCCAGATGCCACACTCTAGAAGACATCTTTCCAAAAATGCCACTTATCTCCTTGATAAGCTCAACTGACATTTGAGTCGATGCCTTTGGATATACTGCTGGGCTGGTTACAATACTTGAATTATTAAATTCCCAGTTGCCTCTTTGGACTGCCTTGTCCTTAATAGAAGCCATTTCTTTTAACTTCCCATTTAATTCTGAGGAATTTGCATACTTCCAACAATTTGAAAATAAATTGCTAGACAGGTCCTCTTGAGAACTGTATGTACGCTCTATTGATAGAAAACATCTGCTTGTCTATACTCACATTTGTTTTCTATGGAAATCTGCATGCTCCCCTTAGATGCATTTGGCATACATGCTATTTGCATACTAAATTCTCTGTATGTTTGCATTTTACATTAACAGAGGTGATTTTACTTTTGAAAGGTTAGAGGCAAAGGATTTTACACTTGTAAATCAAGAGCAACATTCTTTGACATTTTATCCTTAGTAATAAGTGAGGCTTTCGTTTTTTTGACCAGAAATGTGCATATTTCTGAAGAGACAACACCATGACACTAAAAGCCATATTCTGCCTTTGAACTCATGCATGGGGTTTCCAGTGAAGTCAACAGGAATGTAGCAACTAGGAAACATAGTATGATGAAGCTGCAAAGCAGGGCACTACAACTCCCATCAGCCCCTTCCCCACTGCACTTCCCTTTCTCCCGGCCAGCAGACCTGAGGTCCATCTAGTCCAGTAGCTGTCTCCATTAATGGCCAGAAATAATTCCGATTGCCCTAAAAAAACCCGGCCAAACTGCTTAATTCAAGCCTTAGTTTACAAAACAGGTTCCAGAAGAAACCCTGCTAATATTTATATTCAAACATTACCCAAGCATGTCAGATTATAATTAGATATTAATAATGCTTTTAAAACTCAGCACATGTGCTAGCCTAACCCTAAACAAGCATATCCCATCCGCAAACATTACAGCAATTTGAATGAAGAGTTGCTGGATTAGCAAGCATAGCAGAACCAATCACCCACATCAATGTGGCTCCTAAGGGAGTAAAAGAATGGATAAAGCTTTTCATGAAGAAGGAAAGCAGGAGTATAACAAATAAATCTCATCAACTGCTGATATATTGTGGAGCTTATATAGGAAGGAGGATATTGAATACTGGCACTGAATAGAATGTTAGGATTACAGGACAAGGATTTCACTGAACTACATGTCTTTGGGATGTTTCACTTCCTAGACTTAATAATGCTTTCACCTTGAGTGAAAGAAAAACAGAAAATTTGATACTGAACAAAGGAGGAGGAGAGGGGGAAAAATTGGTTAGAAAAAGTCATTAATAATTAAAATTCTGATCCTACCTACTTTTATCTTGTAGGTAGAAAGACTATGTCAGGTTTAACATACTGTCGCAACAAAGGTTTGTTTTTTTTAATTAACCCTTAAAATATGTCACCAGCTAATAAGCAGAAAAATAGAAGTGTCCTAATTAAAATGTCCTGGGCTTTAGAGTAAATGTCTTGAGCTATTGGGCAGGACCAGATGTTGTTTATGCTGAATGGAGTCTTGGATTATGTACCATTTTTGAGCGATTACATCAGCCTTGCAAGTTGCTAGTCACTCACTTGCCTGGGGTGAATAATTTTTTTCGAATGGGTACATAAAATACCATTTGTTTATAATTATTATCAATCATCATGGTAATAAGGAGGCAAGTAGAGGTTGTATCTGGGCCGGTACATTTTCAGTGCAATTTTCAAAGGCTGAATACAGAGATTAGCTAAATTTGCTGTATTTATTCCATTTTGAATTGCTACAAAACCACTTGGCATTTCTCTAATATTAATGATGAAAAAAGCATGC